GTGAAAAAAAAACTTGTTTCCGTTTTCAAACTCCCTAATTGTGTTCTCGACACTGATTATCAACTAACAATAGCTAAATATGTCAACCGTTATCGGTTATTTAGCTCTGCAATAAGCTTAAAAGTATTTTTAGATTCGCAAACTTATAACTATAAATAACCTTAACATATGAATAAATATAAATAAATTACACAAATTCAAGTGTACTATAAAAATTTCATAATTTTTTCAACATGAAACATATATGTACAAAGATGGATAGTGAGTAGCAGTGGAATCCACAGTTTGACGCGCGTTTCGTCCTATTTGAGACTGGTCAGTGGGATGTACATGCATCTCAGAGTTGATGTTCACTCAGTGGCCGAGTGGATAATGTGATGGCGTTTGAAGCGAAAGGTACTGAGTTCGAGTCCCAGAGTGAACATCAACTCTGAGATGTAGGTATATCCACCTGACGAGTCCCAAGTATGACGAGACGCGCGTCAAACTGGATTCCACTGCTAGCCACTATCAATCTTTGCTTACAATGCTTGTGAATTAAGGCTTTATCGAGGCAATACGCACAGTATGCACATATGCCAATTAGAGACTGACCAGTTTTAGTCCTAACACATCGATGGGAAGATTCAAACAAATAATACTAAGTGAATGAAACATATATGCCTAACAGTGGAATCTAGAATGAACGTTTCATTAATATATATGACACATCAATTGGATGTACTCCTATCCTAGTGTTGATGTTCATATTGGAACTCGAACCCAATATCTTTTGCTTCAAATGCCCAGAGCACTGAGCGGCTATTGAATTCAGTCAGTGTGCTGAAATTTTCAAACTATTATAAATTACGTTAAAAGTCATACTTGTTGCACAAGTTAGTAGTTCAACAGATAACGTGTTAGGTGTTTGAGGCAAAGGGTGTTGAGTCCGAGTTCTAATGTGAACATCAACACTGAGATACAGCAATATTTAATTAACAAGTCTAAAATAGGATGAAATGCGATTAGAGAATTCTAATGCCAGCTACATTCCATCTGTCCAACAAAATGATCATTTCGGAAAAACCCGCAATGGACCCACAAATACTAACAAAAACTGTCCAAAATTCAATCTTCACTATCAACCAGATAATTAAAACTATCATAAATTAAATTATTTCTTATGTATTAAATCAATTATTTTCTAAGCATATCATCAACTCTCTATAATTTACTGATTTAGTTGAAAATACTACATCATAAATAGAAACTTGACTAGAACAGAAACAAATACCTTTGGTCAAGACTCTTTTATGGAGAAGACTTACAGTTCAAATAGATCCCTATTTTATGTAACTGGTGGGTAGTTAGGTTGCCTAGAACAAAAATGGAGGCTTCATAATTAAACCATCAATCTTATATAATACAACATCATGAAAAACGCATCTTTATGAATCGAATATATCAATGTGTATGTCAACACTGGGGTTTAGGCACATACAACCTATGAGTCCTACATAAGACGATCTGCACATCTCTGATACCGTTTTTAGCCACAATACAAATAAACTTAAACCTTACAACTAAAAAACAGTATCAAGGCAATTCATTCAGTTTACATATACATCAGTAGAGATTGATTAGTTGCAGTACTTAATACAAGTAATAGGAAAATTTGCACACTTAGATATAACATTATAAAGTTTACCAAACAGTCAATCAAATATATTTACATATTAATCTTTCATAATTATTCTTGTATGACGACATTGTATAAGTATATTTGATCATGCTTACAGATATCCATTCATACAATTTAAACAAATTGAAGAGTTTAATCAGGAGGGGTTTTGTGAAGATTTCAGCATTTTCATAGTTAAAATCATAAGTCAATTGAAGCTAGACCACCAGGGAAAACCTGCAAGCACTGCACGGCCAAATCGTTCTATTGTGGGACTTCTCAGCAGTACGCATACACGATCCCGGCTCAGTGGTCTGGTGGTTAAGCGCTCTGGCACGAGACTGGCGTGTCATGGGTTCGAATCTCGCGAGGTGAGATCGTGGATGCGCACTATTGAGGAGTCCCACAATAAGATGAAACGGCCGTCCAGTGCTTCCAGGTTTTCTGTGGTGGTCTAGCTTCAATTGACTCATGATTTCAACTATGAATAGTTTAGGCAAATTTAAAGATAAACACTTTTGACTTCGAAAGAAATTTGATATCTTTACAAAATATAATCCCTTATTAGTAATATAGTTGATCAATTCATTTTGATTGTTATTAGGCTAAAATGACTTATATCAGAAGGGGTTTTTTGTGGAGATTTAGTATTTGCATAATTGAAAGCATGAGTCAATTGAAGCTAGACAACCAAGGAAAACCTGGAAACGCTGGACGGCAGTTTCGTCCTATTGTGGGACTCCTCAGCATGATGATTTATTCTAAAGTTGTATAATAGAATATAAATGAAGTAAAACTTGAATGTATGATCGGTTCCAATTCTATCGACTAGAGTACAAATATCAATGAATTGTAAAATGATTCAAACGCTATTACAATATGTGCAAAAAATATTTTTTCTTAAAAAAAGAATTTTTAACAAATTTGGAAAACTACTGAAAATCAAGGATAAGAAGAAAAGGAAACGGAAGATTCTAACTGTAATAAAAAGTGATTTAGTTTAAAACAGTTAGTCCCTTTGATATATTTGGATAGTGTAGTAACAAGGCAAAGATTATCAAAACTATTGTGATAGATTAGCGCAATATCATGCGAACAGTCTGATCATACATATATATACTTGTTAAGCACACCTATGTATAAAAAAACAGGTCAGTCAAACAAGTGGAATGTAAGAGGAAACAAGTTTAGTAACGAAAATAATGTGAAGTGTACTACACTGGATTATAAATCGATATTACTAGTACAGGTTTAAGATGAGCACAAACTGTTTTTGTATGTATAAGGAAGGTTTAAATTTTAGTATGGAGATTGCTTCACTGAACCCTTGAACGGATTGAAATTCATAATCTCATTATATAATGTCTATAGTTCTCTAGCAAATATTGGTTCCTGATCTCCAGATTGTTTAACTGTTGAATATCGACTTACGCATAAGTTTCATTACAAACTCAATATAATCGGGGGAACTAATGAAACACTACTTAACTTTGGACAGTTGGTACGTTCTAGCACTAACACACTTCAAAAGTCTGTACTCAAAATCTCATAATCTACGGTTTGACGAAAGACAATCACTTCTCAAGAAAAACACAACACTTTTAGATTTCTGAGTTAACATCACACAGTGAGGTACTGAGAGTTCCTGAACTGAAATCAAAACAGTATTATCCAATGATGCATTCACATGTTTTCAATGTCTTTCAATTGATTTGAGTATTTTACTGAAATCTATCTCCAATAACTCCTTATATATTTAATAACATAAAAATAGTTTGGCCAAGGTAGTTCCACAACGAGTTCGTTTCTTAAAACTACACAACTGCAAATATATATGTATATATTTACAACTAAATGGTCACTTTGTAGTCCTTAAGTGCTTATCTAATTATGTCGATCAAGTTGTAATGTGCTACCTAGTCTATGTGACTCGATATCAAGGGTACTAGGTTTAGAGAATAGACGGTTGGATGTAGTCGACAGGATGCCATGGTGCTAGGCTTCATGTTAGTTTCCAGTCGTTGACAAGGTGCACATTCAATTGTTTGGGAAATGATGATCATTGTGGGATTCAAATTGTAGTCATACGGAACGAAGGCCTAAATACACATAAAATTAGTCACTGTTCAAGGATCATTCAGTTGTAAATATATATTTAGTATTCTGTTGATGAAATCTCATGGGAACCATCAGTTCAGTTAAGGTTGCAAGTATGCCTTGCAAATATATGCCAACTAGCAAAACACCTAGGTCCATAGTTTCCTTCCTACTGCCTCCATCAACCACCTAACATATATACTTATTAAGTTATTAATCTATTAACAAATTATATGTTTAAATTCACATAGTATTGTTTGTTTGAATGTTCCCATTGATGTTTAGGACTGAAACTGGTCAGTCTCTACTTGGCATTGATTATGAATACGGTGGTCTTGAGTGCTGTTAGGGGTATGAGGGCAGTTATCACTTCCCGGTTGCCCACACCGTGGAAGGGTTCTCCTGGGAGTACCTGAAAAGGAAATTGGGTTAGAAGTAGTCTTAATGACCTGAGAGCGTGACCTCAGTGCCCAAGGGACAACTGCTTGAGGTCGGTCACACACGACCTTTTTGTGGGTAGTTTTTGTGTTAGCTCCGTTCTTCAAAAAAAACCTTACCGCCGGAGACGGATATCCGTGGGATAAAGCGAGGTGTGCATTTTTAGGGTCGACCTTTTCTAACCCCACCCCTTCTTGTGGGAAGGCAACATCGCTGTCATGCTGGTTGTCTGAAGGAAACACCTTACTGCTGTCATACCTCTGTACAGTCGACAGTACGACTTCGCCTTTGGACCTAGGGTTTGCTGCTTTTAGTCTTATCGCTCTTCAACCGACCTGTCTGGCATGGTAGGACCTCGAGGAACGATTGTTCCAGCTAACATAGTTCGGTTGCTTCATCATGATAGGCAAGCCCGACCACCACGTCAAAGTAGCAGCAACGGTCGGGGTATGGCAACTTGGACCGATGCATAAATGTGCCTGGTCCTACGTTGTAGCTGACTGACTGACTGACTCTACTTGGCATATATGCATACTGTGCGTATTATGTTTCAGAGTGAACATCAACTCTGAGATGCAGGTACATCCAGCTGACCAGTCCCAAATAGGACGAAACGCGCGTCAAACTGTGGATTCCACCGCTACTCACTATCCATCTTTGCTTACAAATTATATGTTTGTTGTTATTAACATTAAAATATGCTTGGCTGCAATCAGAGAACTGACTAGATAGTTTAGAACTTCTGAAGTGGGTATATTCAAAAACTATTAACACCAAAGAATCTAAAATATTAAGAATAACTTACTAATTTAGATGGTAAGTCATTAGTATTTGATTTATTAGTTGTTAAATCATTGATAGACATTGTAGATACATTTGCCATATTAACATTATAAATCCCAGTGCAATTTGTGATTCGATCATGTTTCAAGTTTAAACTACTATTATTATTACTATTATTATTACTATTATTATTATTATTATTATTATTATTATTATTATTATTATTATTATTATTATTATTGGTTGTAGATAATGATATTGATGGCAATGATGGTGACAAAGACGACAATGACGATACAAACGAGGAGAATGGAATTGATAAAGTCTCATAATCTCTTTTTTTACCATTATGGTTATTTCCATCGTTATTAGATAAAGATGAGAATTTTTGTTTATTCTGTCGAAATTTCTCGTTGACTTGTAACTTTTTCCGCTGTCGATGTTGATAATGGTGTTGTTGTTGATTCTTCTGTTTCGATTGTTGTCGCCGACATTGTCGTTTTTTCCGTGGTCGTCTTTGGCGTCGTTCACCTTTAACTTCTGTCTCTTCGCCCTCATTTTTATTCTCGCTATCATCATCATCGATTATTTTTTCCATATTACTAACTTTATTTAAATTACTTACAAAAGATAATAAGGATAGTGGACAATTTAATGGATTTGTATAGGTTGGTGCTGTACAGTGATGATTAATATTATTATTAGTAGTAGGAGTAGTAGGATTCATACTGTTCGATGTTATGACTTGTTCTAAATAGTTTCCATATTTTTCTGACTGATTCTCACTATTATTATTATTATTATCTTCACAGTAATGATGTGTCAGTAGTTGTGGATCTTTACAAAGTTGCTGAAATTGACCAGGATCGTTATGATTCGAAATCGTTGTAGTTGTAGTTGTTAATGTGGATGTGGGTATTTCATAATTTCTGCTTATATCATGTAAATAATGAATGAAAGCATTACGACGATTATCTTGAGATATCTTTTTTGAATTATTCAATGAATCCGATTTGTCAAGGTTTAAAAATTTTTGAAAATTAGATAGAACATTGTTTGTTGTATTGTGTGTACTAATATTGGCAGTATCTGTTGTTGGTGGTGGTGGTGTTGTGTTCGGATTAGTAGAAGTAATACGTACATTATAATGTTGTTGATTCGATTGTCTGGTTCGCATTTTTTGCAATATACGTAGCTATACAAGAAAAAACATTACAAAACAGAAATAGATCTAAATTATAGAAAAAAAATACAAAAAATATATGAATATAAAATCAGAACTATGAAATAGAATAAGTTACGACATTTTACCTGTTGGATGTTTATGTGCAAGTACAGCTCCTCTAGTGGAAATTGACAAATTGGACATGCCACCTTAACCAACCAATGAGTGAATATTCACTTTTTTTATTTTGGAAAGAGTGATTTATTATGTATTTTTGTCATTTCTTAACAAGATTCAGACTCGTCTCTAACAAAAGCTGTAACGATTGGAACATAAAACCCTAGTTGATGTATTTAAAAGAAATTCGTAATATTCTTTGGTTGGATACGACATCATGAACGGTTCTATTAATTTTTCACATCATTGATTTATTTTTTCTTCCTTCGCTTTCCTTCGTATACATTCTTCACCATCTGATTATTTGAACATTTCTTGTTGGACGGTTTGAATAATGTCTACTTTCCCACGTTTTGACTTAATTCCTATATGGAAACATTAATTTAGGCTTTTAGTATTCTTATCACTGCCGGAACACTTGTTATCTCACTACCGATTTGAATATTCTTAGTTATAATTGTATCTCTCACATTTCATTTTGATTTGGACTTCCTTCAATGGAAATTCCCTTATCCTTAATAATACATTTATATTTCTTATTTTATACAACACATTTTTGAATCATTATCATTAATGTCATTATGATTATTATTAATATTATAATCATCAAATCAACCACAACACAAAAACTTTTACTTCCAGTATGAGGGATTGTTTAATTTCACTGAAGTCATCAGCTGATATAATTTAGACCGCCACTGAAAACCGGGAAGCACTGAACGGGCGTTTCATCCTAGTACGACACTTCTCATCACTGTGCATCCACAATCCCGCAGGCAAGAATACCAGAAAAGACTTCAGGTCTTAAACTCTAGACCAATGATTCGGCATTCAACGGTGTTAACGAATAACTTTATGCAAACCACAAAACTGCAAGAAAGTCCGCCATTGTCTTCGATGGGTACCTGCTTTAAACCCGACATGGATTATATTCACTGGTGGCAGAGAAGCAGAAGGTTCTGGGTTCATCTCCTGGTTGCAGGATTGTGGATGTTCATTGGTGACAAGTCCCATATTAGCACGAGAAAGCTGTCCATTGCTTCCAGGTTCTAATGATGGTTTGATTTAGATCGGCTCATGATGTCAAAAAATTTCTATTTTTCATGAATATTTTTAAAACTACCATTTTAAATTATTTATTGTACAATAGAAGATGGTCGCATAATATCGCAGATTGATTGGACTTAGACAATAACACAGTTAAATTTCGGTTCAATAGTCTACGGATTACGTGTTCGCGCGCGTGATCGAAAGTGTTTGATTCACCTCCTGATTGCGAGATCATGAATGAGCAGTGATAAGTAGTCTAATACTAAGACGAAACTACCATTCAGTGCTTCAAGGTTTTAGATGGTGGTCTAATATTGGTTGGCTCATGATTTCAGTGTTATTCATTAGAACTCATCACCTTAGCTACGGCATATAATTTTCCTTACACTTCATGAATGATCTTTTCTTGACACTACCAATGATATTATTTTGTTTTGTGAGTAATATGGAGTATTTAAAATTCAACTGACGTGAAATTTGTCATTTTCAATTTCTTATATGAATTTAATTAACTTCTATATTTTGTCTGTTTTGACACAAAAATGATAATAATGTCAGATTCGTAACCGTAGAATTTTATGCAACTATGGAAAACAGTTGTTCATTTATGCATAAAAAATTTTCTGTATGTTAGAGTAAACCTTATTGAACATCTGACTGAATATAGTATTGTTAGTTTTTGTGTTGTCCTAATTTACACAGAATCGCCAATACGAACGTCAAAGTCAGTCAGTTAGCTAAAACGTAGGACTAGGCACATATATGCATCGGTCCAAGTTGCCATACCTCGTTAGCACAACAAGATGAACACCGAATTCATAGAAGTAGTTAATTTAGTGGTGGTAATATATGAAAGAAAGGTTGTATATAAGAATATAGTATATGCAGGAAGAAAGTTATGAAGCAATTTTAATCTAAAGGTTTGAGGGAAGATAAAAAGTGTATACACCTACGCCATTATAAAAACGACCGTCAAACAGTTCTACTGTATGGAGCTGAAACTTAGAGAACTAATACAGCCATCATCAAAAAGTGCAAGTATTTATAAACAGTTGTCTACACAAGATAATCAATATCCGTTGACCGGATACGATCAACAACAGCCTACTGTGAGAGAAAATAAACCAACTTCCATCTGAATAAGAAATTAGGAAAAGATGTTGTCAGTGGATAGGACATACATTACGGAAATCATCAAACTGCATCATGAGGAAAGTGCTAATTTGGAATCGTGAAAGGAAACGGAAAAGAGGAAGGTTGAAGAACACAACACTTCGGGAACTGGAAGCAGATATGAAAAGGATATAAAGAACTGGAAAAGATTGTTCAGGATAGAGTTGGATGGAGAATGCTGGTGGACAGCCTATGCTCGTCCACAAGGGGTGACAGGCGTAAGTAGGTAAGTAATTTACGCAGTGGGAATTCTTAATATTTCGTGGTGTTGTAAATTAAAGAGCACTAAGGACAGTTGTAGCAGCATATTATGAAAGTATATTATCTACTTGATCGGATCCAGAAAAATTAATTCCTTTCCTTAGTTACCATCACATTACTGGTAAAGAAATCACGTAGTAGACAATCTCCAGATTAACTCGATGTCTGACGCTTAACAATTTTCTTTATTGCTGTTGGGACGATCCTGAAAATTTCTCGCAATAGACATGACAAGCTCAGGAAACATTAAGGAGCATATTATCCAATCAGCGTTTGACTAGACATTTTGCTAGAAATATCGCGAAAATGGAAAGTCACATGTAGAGGTTCTGATCGGCTGATTACTATACTGCTACTATGTTTAGTGATGTTCTAGAATTTTCAGGAAAACCCAAGGACTTCTTCAATACTATAAAAACCCTATATTTTCTGTACATAAATGAACCTTTGGAGTAAAGTACTTCCCGCATATTTTGTGACTTTTCTTTCATGTTCAAGTTGTTGAGTAGTTCTAGCTTGGGGGGTTACGAAACTAGTTTAGGATCCGAATATAGCGTTCAATCAGGAAGACTTATCGATTTCAAAGAAACTAGAAAAGATAAAATCCGTCAGCTACACATGTTAACTTGTGTGCAGTCAAACAATTAAACAATGACTAATTATTTACATAATGATATTAAAGAATAGACTAATCATCTATATAATCTAAAATCTACTTAGTCTTAAAGCTTCAAGCATTCTACTGTAAACAACTGACGTAAAGAGATTATCCAGATGATTTTGAAAAAATGGATCGGATCGCAAAAAGGAAACAAAGGTACAGCAATTATGAAATATTATGAATAGCTCTTTACAGTATAGTCTGTTTCATTAATTGCTTTTGGAACAATGAACTTATTTAATAATGAAAAATAAAAGTAAAAACAGTCGAGAAATTAGATTATAACAACGATTCAATTTCTCCATAGTTTATAATGGAAAAAGGATGATAGGAAAGCAAAACATTAAGGTAAGAAAAAAAACTGAGGGGATATAAAATGGATGTTTGGCAAAAGAATAAATCAATGTAGAAAAAATAAAAGTGAATTCATTTGGATCATCTTCAATAATATGAAATTTAATCACTTCACTTTATCATAAAATTGATGGAATTTAGCTAACAATAGAATTAAGAACACGAGTCTTGTCGTGCAATAACAATACTCCGAAGAAATCTACGGCAGAATACCATGAACCTCCAAAACTCCTCCTTAGTTAGTGATTCCGTCACATACAAATCAATAGAATGGGGTTAATGTCTAAGTAAGACAATCACCATTTGATAGACAACATCCATCTGTCTATTTTCAGAAATAACTCACGTGGCACATATGTCATATAAGCTTGTAGTATCTGTGTGATGAGTATCGGTTAGTTGGGTCAACATCTTACAAATCCAACATACACATTGATGGTCACTTTGAAGAGGTATTCATTCTCCAATAATTTCATCGCTTAGAATTTACTACTTTAAATATTACTTTTATTTCACAACATCTAATGAATCACAATATTTCACATCAGTTTATTTACCCCAGAATACCGTGATATGTTAGAGAGTGAGCAGAGTCTACTCGCCCTCTTCAAATGCTTCCACATAGCCATAGAAAAAAGTCTTGTTTGAAAAAACGCCAACTAGATTAAACAAATTAAACCATTTCAACTGTTCCCTGTGAGTTGAACCAAGGATTATGACGCCATAAATCATTGAGTTGCGTAAAATTTAGGATGTTCTTTGACGAAGTTTGATATATCAATATATGCCATTCCCATACAAGTATCTTTCATTACACATTAACATATCATAAACTGACTACTTTTCTACTTTTCCCATAAAAGGCGTGAGTTCTCAAATAAAAGCTTCTGGGACGATATTCGTAAAGTGCGTAATCAAAATTATAGACTGGAAAGTAGTATAAAAAACAATAAAAGCATAAATATGATAGATAGAGTATATATATCGAAGGATGAAAGGTCCAGAATGATAGTTAACTCAAAATTTATAACGAGCTAGAGGATAAATATAATTGCACCACTGTGAATGATCTTGTGTCGTGCTTCACACAAGCTACTCTCTGATATATCCTAGATCAACAATCACTAACTACATGGACCGATGTCATGTGAAACTACCCTAACCCTAACATTTTTCCAAACTCCTACGTCAGCCGGTATCGTACTCTGAGGGTTTATATGGCATTATCAACGGACTTTCCTTATTTACCTAGTACCTCACGTCTAACCTGACCATAACTCTCCCAGTCGCTCCATCATGTACGGTCAATATTTCGAGGACTCTTATCGTCAAATACTTGCAGCCCACGTATACC